GCTGAACCAACACATCAAATGAAGTGCAAAATAAACGAATACCTAATTAGAACATTCTTCAACGCAAAAGGGATATGTATTTCGATTAACAGATGGACCTCGTCAAAATCGACCTTGACTTCTTCGTTGGTTACATACCAGCTAGGAAACAATGGCAAGCTTACTCGATCACCTAACAACGAAATATGATACATAGAAAATATGTAACTAGAAAAGTGAACGGGAGATTGAAAAATCTGTGGATCGTGAGGTCCAGCCGGTCAAGAAATTCGAGAGGAAAACGCGCACGGTCCACGCTGAAGATCGAAAGTAGACTCGTTGATCTGTATATCGTCATCTCCAGTAAAGACGATCAGTTACCTCAGCTGCGGTAGCAGCTGACAAACCTTCTGCCGTAGCAGCTTCGTCGTGAATATCCACCGGTGGATATTTTCTGGTGGACAGGTGCTAGCAATCTGCTCGCACGACAGCCGGCGTTCGTGACGATTCTTGCGTAGCAACGAATGAATCGAATCGAATTATTTTGTATCTGGCAAAGATATGACTTGACAATTGATCCTTTAAAAGAAGTGAAGTACAGTTCGGCAATATTTGGAGTTAATAATAATCGCTATAATAGCTTTATTATGACATATTTTCATATTTTCAACTTTTTCTATTACCTTCTATTTGGTAAGTAACTACCATGTAAAATATTTCACGACATAGAGTAGGTAATCTGATGTTAGAAACATTGTTGATGCCTTAGAGGTATCCCCAATGCCAATCTCAATAAATTTTGGAACTCTAAAATCAATGCATATTAGAAAGAACAGTATTTTATAAATGAAAATGATAATATGTTATATTGTACAAAGTTTTTCTTATATGAAGTATTATTTGAAAATGTCTAATAGTATTATATTGCTTATATTCTATTTAACAAGCATGAAATTTTCCTATTTAGATTATTGATTCAAATATTGATTTAAATCAATTTCACGTTACTTCTACAAAGGTTCTTGGAGTTGGAACTATTCAGAGATTCTTGAGAATAACAAGATAACAGAACCATCATATTTTACTTTTACAAAATAAAACTTGTGAAATTTATTCTCTATGTTATTCTTTATGATATAGAAACAAACGTTAAAACGATACTCAGCAAAGAAAAACGTCATAAAATGTCCCTAGACTGTTAAAGATAAAAAAAAGGCTGACATAAAGTATTGAAATAATAATTAATTAATGAGCAGTTAGGTAGAAGTAATAATATCAAGAAGAAGGAAAGAGAGAGTCGTTAAAGCGAAGATTGCGAAATATCTAGTCCAGCTGTTGACTCCACGATCCCTATAGACCGAGCGTTTCCCATACATAAATAACGCCTCGCCTACACCCACCGTATTATATGGTCCCATTATATCGTATTATATCAACTACCCATTATTCGAGCGGTTC